CCTGCCGTCCCCGCCATCTGGGTGCGATTCTCCATCGGGGGTGGGGGGTGGGGATGGGGACGCATTGAGGAACCTGGCCTTGGGGCAGCAGAGAGAGTAAATCCGGCCCTGGCCATAACCCATCCCAGCCAACCATAACCCAGTGCAGGTAGGCAATCGCGGTCCGGAGAGAACTGCCACTTGGTCCGTGTCCAGACTGCGGTCCGCCATTTAGTGACCCCTGGTTTAGGAAGACTCATGAAGAAGGAAACATGATCAATGTAGCCTGGCCTGCGGTACAGCCATACGATGAACAATTGTGATAATAGGCCACAACTATGGCCAATGAAAGACTTATCCCGGGGAAGTGGTCCTACGAGAGGCTACTGGGTAATACAGCCGGCAGGGAAACTGAAGAGGTCACTCGGTGAAAGACAAATCCACATCATTATGCAGAACTCTGCTGCACATCACTAATTACTCCGACAGTTATAAATCTCAGCGAGCAGCAGGCGAGGATTATGCAGGACAGCTGTGAGGGGGAAGGACGTGGGAAGGAATCTCTGATCGTTATGCCAAAATGTACCTAGATGACTATCCCGTGACAAATCAGGCCGGTATTGTGATTTAATGTCACGTTACAGGCAGGGGCGTAACTAGAAATCACAGGGCCCCATAGCAAAATTTTGTATGGGGCCCTGTGATTGCTAGTTATGCCACTTGCAGAGCCCACCTGTTATACCAAACAGCCCACCTCAGAGTGACCCTGCAGAGCCCACCATAGACTCTATATAGTGGGCTCTGCAGGGTCTGCACACCTCTTACCTGTCAGCGCTGCTTGCCTCCGTTCTTGCCGTGCCCCGCCTCCTCTTCCGTCCCCGTGCCCCGCCTCCTCTTCTATCGAAGAGGCCCCGTCTGCTCTTAGGTCGCTGGCCAGTGATGTAAGAGGAGGTGGGGTTGCTTTTAGGCGGGCCCCGCCTCCTCCACTGCGAACGCCGGCCTCTTCTGCCGCAGCTGCTGGCTGTCACTGACACTGCTCCGCAGAGGCTGTGAGGGGAAACGCCGCTGCTGAGCTGTGTCAGTGACAGCCAGCACCCTTAAGGTGCCCATACACCTTGTGATTATCGTACGATAATCGCAAGGTGTATGGAAGGCGTGCATCCGTTTCTACTGTACGGTCGCACGTCTTTTGTCGAACCAGCATGCTAGAAAACCAGCCGAGAATCGTCCGATTGTCGGCGGGTTTGTGGCGTGCTCGTTCGACAACTGCAGAACGGGCCGGTGTGCGCAAGCGCACACTGCCCGTTTAGCATTGCGGTCATTGGAAGCCCGCCCCTCAGCGGGGCAGGCTTTCGATGATCGCAAGTACGACCTGCCTGTCCAAGATGGGCAGATCGTACGAGCTTTTAATTAGCTTACAACCATCGCAAGACAAAAGTCTTGCGATGGTTGTAAGATGTATGGGCACCCTTACATGCCATAGCGACCCAGGAGGCCCACACGGCATCAGAGGGATGCCCTGGCTGGGACCCCTGTGCCCGGGCCCAATAGCGGCCGCCTGGGTCGCTATGGCGATTGTTACGCCACTGGTTACAGGCATGCAGCCTCTTGCTTTACATCTCCAGTTGAGGAAGTGCCCGTACTGGGGGTTAAAAAAATCAGCCCTCAGCAGGTGCCTTGGCATTTGTAATCAGCAACGTGTGGCTTGGGCCTCTGCGGTCTGACTGGTACAGTACAGTGTATCCAAAGCCGAAAGATTTCTATTAGCTTTTGGCTTTGTAATGCACATTGTGAGGAGCTCAGAGTGTGCAGTGAGATCAGAGTGTGCAGTGCAGGAGAGGAGAGGATACATTGGAAATCTCTCCATGAGTGGAATCATTCTTCTGGGGAATTTATTCTGGACACCACCGGGTTCGCTGGGGTTGGCTGTATATTATCTAAGTATACTTTTCTCAGCTATAAATATCGTTATAATGTTACATAATCTAAGCTGACAACTCATAGAGGTTTATGTGACTCGTTCATCTCTTTATTTCAGATCCATTCGGGGACACAGATGACCGGGAGCCCCTGACAAATGAAATGAGAAGCGGTCCTGTTGTCATTGGAGGTGACTATTTAATATTAATAAGTTAGAATAATAAAGACAAACTGACATCTGGGAATCCTAGAACAATGACACACTGACACCTTGGGTTCCCAGAATAATGACACACTGACACTTGGGGCCCCAGAACTATGACACACTGACACCTTGGGTTCCCAGAATAATGATACACTGACACATGGGTTCCCAGAATAATGACACACTGACACTTGGGTTCCCAGAAGAATGACACACTGACACCTTGGGTTCCCAGAATAATGACACACTGACACTTGGGGCCCCAGAACTATGACACACTGACACCTTGGGTTCCCAGAATAATGACACACTGACACTTGGGTTTCCAGAATAATGACACACTGACACTTGGGGCCCCAGAACTATGACACACTGACACTTGGGGCCCCTGAACAATGGCACACCGACACCTTGGGTTCCCAGAATAATGACACACTGACACTTGGGTTTCCAGAATAATGACACACTGACACTTGGGGGTCCCAGAACAATGACTATTTGACACTTGGGGTCCCAGAACAATGACACACTGACACTTGGGGTCCCAGAACAATGACATATTGACACTTGGGGTCCCAGAACAATGGCACACTGACACTTGGGTTCCCAGAACAATGACACACTGACATCTGGGGGTCCCAGAACAATGACACACTGACACCTTGGGTTCCCAGAATAAGGACACACTGACACTTGGGGCCCCAGAACTATGACACACTGACACCTTGGGTTGCCCAGAATAATGACACACTGACACTTGGGTTCCCAGAACAATGACACCCTGACACATGGGTTCCCAGAACAATGACTATTTGACACTTGGGGTCCCAGAATAATGACACACTGACACTTGGGGTCCCAGAACAATGACATATTGACACTTGGGGTCCCAGAACAATGGCACACTGACACTTGGGTTCCCAGAACAATGACACACTGACATCTGGGGGTCCCAGAACAATGACACACTGACACCTTGGGTTCCCAGAATAAGGACACACTGACACTTGGGGCCCCAGAACTATGACACACTGACACCTTGGGTTGCCCAGAATAATGACGCACTGACACTTGGGTTCCCAGAACAATGACACCCTGACACATGGGTTCCCAGAACAATGACTATTTGACACTTGGGGTCCCAGAATAATGACACACTGACACTTGGGGTCCCAGAACAATGACACACTGACACTTGGGGTCCCAGAACAATGACATATTGACACTTGGGGTCCCAGAACAATGGCACACTGACACTTGGGGTCCCAGAATAAAGACACACTGACACTTGGGTTCCCAGAACAATGACACACTGACACTTGTGGTCCCAGAACAATGACACACTGACACTTGTGGTCCCAGAACAATGACACACTAATTATAATAGTATCTGCACTCACGGTTTTCTCTCAGTCCTCCTGCAAAGTCCCGCAAATACCTGTTGATCCTGCCAGTGCAGTCTACCTAAAGCAGCTCCCTGTGATGGGGTGGCAACGATGCTGCACTGCACCTGAATTCAGAGTAAAGTTGTCACTTTTATGTAGGGTGTGTTTGCTTGCACTATAGTGGGAGGAGAAGATGTTGCAGGAGGGGGTAGCCATCAGCATTGTCACGTGACAAGTGGGGTGCAAGAACATAGACACACTGACCTCCGAGGTCCGCAAAGGCACAGCAACACCTGAGATCCCTGAACAGTGACACACTGACACTCCCGGGTCACAAAAACCACAGAAATGACACATATTTGTACCTTCAAGATCAAGGGCCTGAAAATTCTACAGAAAAAAAACAATAGTATTATTGATCTTTTGATTCTTTATTACATGCAATATAAACAGAGTTCCAGTAATATAATATCACAAAGATATTATTATAATTATACAGGATTTATATATCGCCAACAGTTTGTGCAGCGCTGTACAATATAAGGAAGACATTACAATCACAATACAATTCAAGACAAGATGGTAAGGAGGGCCCTGCCCCTGAGGGCTTACAATCTAAAAGGGAGGGGCCAGTGATACATGACACCTTGGGTTCCCAGAATAATGACACACTGACACTTGGGTTTCCAGAATAATGACACACTGACACTTGGGGCCCCAGAACTATGACACACTGACACTTGGGGCCCCTGAACAATGGCACACCGACACCTTGGGTTCCCAGAATAATGACACACTGACACTTGGGTTTCCAGAATAATGACACACTGACACTTGGGGGTCCCAGAACAATGACTATTTGACACTTGGGGTCCCAGAACAATGACACACTGACACTTGGGGTCCCAGAACAATGACATATTGACACTTGGGGTCCCAGAACAATGGCACACTGACACTTGGGTTCCCAGAACAATGACACACTGACATCTGGGGGTCCCAGAACAATGACACACTGACACCTTGGGTTCCCAGAATAAGGACACACTGACACTTGGGGCCCCAGAACTATGACACACTGACACCTTGGGTTGCCCAGAATAATGACACACTGACACTTGGGTTCCCAGAACAATGACACCCTGACACATGGGTTCCCAGAACAATGACTATTTGACACTTGGGGTCCCAGAATAATGACACACTGACACTTGGGGTCCCAGAACAATGACACACTGACACTTGGGGTCCCAGAACAATGACATATTGACACTTGGGGTCCCAGAACAATGGCACACTGACACTTGGGGTCCCAGAATAAAGACACACTGACACTTGGGTTCCCAGAACAATGACACACTGACACTTGTGGTCCCAGAACAATGACACACTGACACTTGTGGTCCCAGAACAATGACACACTAATTATAATAGTATCTGCACTCACGGTTTTCTCTCAGTCCTCCTGCAAAGTCCCGCAAATACCTGTTGATCCTGCCAGTGCCATCTACCTAAAGCAGCTCCCTGTATAAAGACACACTGACACTTGGGTTCCCAGAACAATGACACACTGACACTTGTGGTCCCAGAACAATGACACACTAATTATAATAGTATCTGCACTCACGGTTTTCTCTCAGTCCTCCTGCAAAGTCCCGCAAATACCTGTTGATCCTGCCAGTGCAGTCTACCTAAAGCAGCTCCCTGTGATGGGGTGGCAACGATGCTGCACTGCACCTGAATTCAGAGTAAAGTTGTCACTTTTATGTAGGGTGTGTTTGCTTGCACTATAGTGGGAGGAGAAGATGTTGCAGGAGGGGGTAGCCATCAGCATTGTCACGTGACAAGTGGGGTGCAAGAACATAGACACACTGACCTCCGAGGTCCGCAAAGGCACAGCAACACCTGAGATCCCTGAACAGTGACACACTGACACTCCCGGGTCACAAAAACCACAGAAATGACACATATTTGTACCTTCAAGATCAAGGGCCTGAAAATTCTACAGAAAAAAAACAATAGTATTATTGATCTTTTGATTCTTTATTACATGCAATATAAACAGAGTTCCAGTAATATAATATCACAAAGATATTATTATAATTATACAGGATTTATATATCGCCAACAGTTTGTGCAGCGCTGTACAATATAAGGAAGACATTACAATCACAATACAATTCAAGACAAGATGGTAAGGAGGGCCCTGCCCCTGAGGGCTTACAATCTAAAAGGGAGGGGCCAGTGATACGTGAGGAGGTACTTTGCTCTACTTATTTTATTATAACGGCATCTCAGATGGCCACACTTCTTCTTTTTTTTTTTTTACCAGTTTATAATCCCAAACATCAACATACTGTATATATCTTGAATTGTTTCTGTTCTTGACTAAGGGGTCTATTTAGAAAGAATTTGCAGAGCTATTCACCCTGCGAATCCACCAGAACGTTTGTTCTGTCCAAATAAAAACAAAAACGAATGTTCGTAGATATATTTTCTTTTCAGGTTGAATGTATTGTGGTATTGTGTGGCAATCCCACGGTAGAACTGGGGGTTGTAGTCACCCAGGACTCTCAGCCTGAGCAGTTCCAGGAGGCAAGCTTTTGTGCTGGGAAAGAGCTGACTTTGCGGTTCTCTCCGGGTTTTCTGGATTTGGCATGGGATCCTGGAACTGTGAGATTTCTAAGAGAATTAGGAGGGATGAGATCTCTAGTCCTGGGTATGGGGTTTAGTAGTGGCCAGCACCTAATGATTGCACACTTGTGCACAGACCTTATGGGAAGGGTGCTGGCTCATGTTCAGGGCTCCTGCTGGGAAGAGCAACAGAGGTGTTCTGGAGTCAGGAGGACTCCACCCAGATGTCAGAGGGGAGCCAGGTGGCTGTGTGTGCTAGAGGCACAGGGACATTGTAGAAATGTCACCAGCACACCAGTCCTTTTAAGATCCCAAAAGGTTCATTTATTGAAGTTTTTTGCTATATGACCAAACAAGCGCTTTCGGGACCGCACAGGGTCCCTTCATCAGGCTTTAGCATTGACCTAGATGTCCCCTTCATCAGGCTCAGAATGAGGCCGGGCTCACAGGGTCCCCTTCATCAGGCTCAGAATGAGGCCAGGATCACAGGGTCCCCTTCATCAGGCTCAGAATGAGGAGCATAGGACATAAATATGGATATTAATACTTATTTCCATCACTGTGTGACTTTTAGATTGATACGTCTCAACCTTCCCCCATCAGCTGTAGTGTCGAGAAGGCCATAGTTGGCCATCGTAAATTAATTCCTCTGCACATCTGCAGTGATGGTAGCTGCCGATTCCTGTGCCGGGATCTGGTGCTGTTGCTAATAGTTTGAGTTTCTATAGAAAGAATATTATCCCTCCTTGGTCTGGGCATCTAAGCTTCAATGCCATCTGGTCATGAAAAGTTAAAGGAGAACTATGGGGTTAGGGCACAAACTAGCATCCTCCCATCACCCGTCACCCAAAGCTCAGTATACCGCGAGCTACAACTACAGCGCGTGGTATACTAAGATGCCTCAGCCGGGACGGATCCTGATATTACTGTCTGGATCCACCCAGCTGCGTGACTGACAGCTGGCTCTGCCTATCTAGAGGCAGAGCCAGCTGTGACCCGCCCCCTCCCCCGTCCGTTCCGCCAGTCAGCACTGAAGGATCGGAGCGGGGATAGAATCCCTGCAGGGAGCCATGAGTGACGGATCCTGATATTACTGTCTGGATCCACCCAGCTGCGTGACTGACAGCTGGCTCTGCCTATCTAGAGGCAGAGCCAGCTGTACCCTCCCCCGTCCGTTCCGCCAGTCAGCGCTAAAGGATGAAAGCGGGGAGGGGGGAGAATCCCTGCAGGGAGCCGTGAGTGATGGTCATGGCTCTCTGCAGGGACAGGATCTAGAAGTGAGCGAGCGACGGTATGTGTTCACTCACTTCCCGATCTATTGAGCCGACCTGTGACAGTTTCATTGCCACACGTCGGCTCGAACTATGAGGCTGAGTGACTTTCACTCGCCTCATAGTTCTCCTTTAATGCAGACTCTTCTTTTTGGAGAGCAGTGGTATTCTGGTCCTTTTAAATGCATCTTTTCGTCTTCCCTTTGCAGGTGTCATCGCCATCACAATATTCATCATTTTTTGCATCGTGGCAATCATGACCAAGATTGTGTACCGACATAAAAAGACACACGGCAAAAGCCAAACCAGAGAAAAGGAGTACCCGGGGACCACGGACTATTCCTTCCGCAACGACGTGGACTTACAAAACACAGTCAGCGAGTGCAAAAAGGAGTATTTCATTTGATAGACGGAATTTCGACGACTTTATGTTCTCCTATTTTTGGGGCCGTTTTTAGGTGCATTTACAGCTTTTTCCTCTGGAGAGAATTTTTTTTTTTCCCAACGCGAGAGTTGACTGCTTAGGAGGGAGACGCATCCGCGGATATTTCAGCCGTTTAGGCAGCGCGCGCCTTTCGTCTTGGGGATCCACTGAAGCTGGTGGTTTTCCCGGGTCAGGTTTAACAATCTCTCTTTTTTTTACAGTCTAGTCAATACATGTGCCTCGTGGTCTTCAAGAATGGAATCTTTACCCGCTGCTTCAACTCCAAGCTATCCAGAGTCAACGGGGGATTGGCCTTTGTGTTGGACCATCAAAACTATGTGGTGCCATGTGGATTTCCACAGAGACTTTCCCGAGATCGAATAATAGTAGTGACAAATTTCTAACTCCAATGTTGCCACCCCTAAAAAAAAATGTTTGGACGGAATTGCTAACTGCAGTTTAGCAATGGGAGTAGAAAGCCGTGCTGGTATATTGAACAATATGGAATGCTCGTTCACTCATGCACCATGACTAATATATACATTATATTTAGGAGATATAAGCATTGTAGTCCCAGATAGGATTTAAAGGCAGCAGTCTTATATTTTCCTATAATATAAAAACAAATATTTTCTCACATTTATGATCCTGATGATCTCTTAAGGTGTATATATAGCCAAACCTTTTTTAATGGAAAAGGAAAGGAATAGAATCCCTGCCATGTTTTTTTTTTTTTTTAATTGATGTCTGTTGCCCGGTAGGTTATTTCACCTTGTTTGTATTTGTTCTGATGACCATTGTCACCAAGACCAAGAGAGATGAGATGATTCTAAAGTTGTACAGTTGTCACCAGTACAAGAGGCGAGGGTAACAATTCCAATGGGGACACCTCTTTGATCAATGTCTAAGAGAGGAATTCTTGTTACTTTGTAGAGATTTTCCACTCAATTCCTGTTACATTCCTCCAGGACAGGGATTGTCAGGAGGGGTTGGTGTCAGGAACCCAGATACAGGGAGACTCGCCAATACAAAAGACACCTCTAAAAAGGCAGACTGAATTGTTATGTACAGCCTCCAATAGAGTGGTAGTCAGCATAGGTAGAGTCCGTGGTATGGCTGCCACCTGTCTAGGATTCACCTGGACAGTTCGGGTTTTGAATGCTGTGCCCAGGTTTCATGGCAGCAGAAACTCGGATACAAGATGTCAGACAGACAGGGGCAACCAAAATTAAGATAGGGGCTAATGGACCCCCACTGAAAATAGTCTCAACTGTGATATTTACATATGAATGGGTGGATCTATTTACATATGAATAAGCCACCACTCATTCGCCCCAAAAAATGTCTGCAGGTTGCTTGAGTGTTTGGGTATCGCTTGAAGAAAATGTGGCAACCCTAGTCCGTGGGCAAGGTAACCATACGCGAAATCCAAATCTCAATTCAATAACGTAGCACAGGTCAGGGTGGGCAGCAAAGGTTCAGGGTCAGGAAGACAAGCAAAAGGTCAGAATAACAGTAGTAACAGGAGGACTAAGAGAGCTAGGTACTGTACTATGAAATACTGCAATAACCAAGACCTGACTGTTTGGCTTGATTCAAATGCATACCTTTGGGCACTCAAATGACATCATCCCTGGAGGCTTAGCTTCCTGTCTGCTGGCCTTCATTAGGCTGTGCATTGACTGGCGCTGTCTCTTTAAGGGGTGTGTACATGCAGGTGTCAGCAGCCAGAGAGCTGCAGGGAGGAGCAGGAGTAGTTGGATGAAGGGGAAGAGGAGACACAACAGCGGCCGCTGAGATGAGACCCGTGGCTGACACCCAACGTCCATGTACAGCTGGGGGGATGCATCCAAGGAACGCAGGGCACCCAGAGGTAATTTCTCACAGGGATTTAAGGGACATCTCCTCAAATGGAAAGAAATGCATTATCTCTAAATATGTGAGAAGTAGTAAGGATACCACACCAATGGCCATAGAGTTCAGAGTAGTTTTTAAATAAATAATGGAACAAGAGCACCAATGTGTTTCGAGGGTTCACACACTTCCCCTTTATCAGTGTTTACCAGATTGGTGAGTCCAGAGTAGCAACGGTTTCTAAGAATCCTTTCTCAGGCTGAATGGTGTAGGTTCTGGATTCACCTGAAATCTGTAGTATTGCAGATGAAGATCGAACCTGAAAATGACACACAGGTGTTTCTTTGAATGAAGATGGTTGATAGACAGACCAAGCTGTGATGCTGCACCCTGAGAAACCAAGTCAGAGAGGAAGTAGCCAGTACGCATGTTCCTCAAGAAAAAAAAACATCTTAACTATTCCCAACTCTATCCAAAACTTTAAAAATACTCTTCAGGAATGATTGATTTTAATTATACAAAAACCACACGGTCATCTAGTATTATGACACAAAACCAGGAAGGTCACTGCTGATTTTACAAAGGAGTGCCGATGCTAAGAGCGTGTCTTTGGATGCTGACATCCAATATATATACAGTTCATTTTTTGTTGTGGAGGAAAATGAGAGGATAGCTGGGCTGTAAGAGGATCATGTTGCTGAACCATCATAGATGTTGCCTTTCTCCTAAAGCTGGCCATACACCTTACAATCATCGCACGACTTTTGTTGTGCGATAGTTGTAAGGTCATTAAAATCTCGTACGATTTGCCCATCTTGGACAGGCAGATCGTACTTGCGATCATGGCAAGCCCTCCCCGCAGAGGGGAGGGCTTCAGATGACTCCAATGCTGAGCGGGCAGTGTGCGCTTGTGCACACCGGCCCGTTCGGCATTTGTCTTCCGAGCACGCCACTAACCCGCTGAAAATCGTACGAAGACAAAAGACGTGCAAACTTACAGTAGAAACGGTTGCACGCCTTCCATACACCTGCCGATTATCGTGCGATCGCTGGATCACCTGATCACCTAATCGGCAGGTGTATGGGCACCTTTATGCTCTACTTTTAATGACTGTCTTTAGCTGTTCAGGTTACTTGTGTATTGGCTCAAACTAAAACTATGTTTCAGGTAAAAACCAGCTGACATTAAACCAATAAACTCTTCTAGAGGGTTTGCTTGCTTAAAGGAGAACTTTGAGGTGAGTGAGTTAGAGCCGACTTGTGACAATGAAACTAACTGTCACAAGTCGACTCTATATACAGCGAACACATACCATCGCTCGTTCAGTTCCCGATCATCTCCCTGCAGAGAGCGGTGACTCTCAGTCACCACTCCCCGCAGGGATTCCCCGCTTCCCCTCTCTGATCCTCCAGCACTGACTGGAGTAACGGACGGGGAAGGAGGCCGGCACAGCTGGCTCTGCCTCTACATGGGCGGAGCCCACTGTCAATCAGCCAGCGTGGTGGATCTCAACAATATTGTCAGGATCCGTCGCGGCTGTGGCGCTCTTAGTATAGAGTGGGCAACTATGGGATAAAAAAGTTACCCCATAGTTCTCTTAAGTTTTGCTGACTTTAATCAGAAAGGTAAAGGGAAGGTCAGGAGCAGAGTATTTTCTACAATATGGAAAGTCATGTTGGAGGCTGAGATATCCTGGTGGTAAGTGCATCAAAAAGTTAGAGAGTGTCAGGGGCAGAGTATTTTGTCCTTTATGGTGGGTCTTGTTGGATGGTGTGACATCTCAGTGGTGGGTGTAATTGGAAAGGTAGAGAGGTCAGGAGCAAGATATTTTTTACCGTATGCAAGGTCATGTTGGAGGGTGTCATATCCGGGGGTGGGTGTGATCAGAAATGTAAGGAAGGTCAGGAGTAGAGTATTTTCTATCTTATGAAGGGTCATGTAGGAGGGTATGATGTCCCAGTGGCAAGTGAAATCAGAAAGGTAGAGAGGAGGTCAGGAGCAGGTTATTTTTTTTACCTTATGGACGGTCAAGTTGGATGGGAGTGATATCCTGCTGGTGGGTGTCATTGTATAGGGAGAGGGAAGGTCAAGAGCAGAGTATTTTCTACTTGATAGAGGTTCATGTTGGAGGCTGTGATAGCCTGGTAATTGGCCTAATTAGAAAGGCAGCGAGAAGGTCAGGAGGAGAGGTTTTTCTATCTTGTGGGAAATAATGTTGGAGGTTTGATACCCAAATGGTTAATGTAATCAAAGGTAGAGGAAAGGTCAGGAGCAAAATATATTTCTACCCTTTGGAGGGTCATGTTGTAAGGTGAGATATCCCGGTGGTGGGTGTATTTGGAACGGTACAGAGGTCAGGATCAGAGTAATTTCTACCTTTATGAGGGGGTCATGTTGGAGGGTTTGATATCCCAATGGGGGGTTTAATCAGAAGGTGGAGAGAAAGTTGGCCAAAAGTCACACCATAGTTAAAAAAATATCCTCCTGAGCTTAACAGTTACTGGCTGCTCTTGCGAATGAATGATTGCCCTGAGTACATTGATGTTAGTCCCGGCAGATACTGCCCCCCTACAATGACAGACTGTGGGAGGATCTACAATGCAGAGACTTACGTTGAAGGATCTACAACCCCATCGATGAGAAAGTCCATATCGTTTGACCTAGTGTAAGATTTCTTTTCAGAGAATTATATGCAATATTGTACAAGAAAGGTTATATATATTATTATTATTATTACATAGTATTTATATAGCGCCAACAGTTTGCGCAGCACTTTACAATATAAGGAAGACATTACAATACAATTCAAGACAAGATGGTAAGGAGGGCCCTGCCCCTGAGGGCTTACAATCTAAAAGAGGAGGGGGAAATGATACTTGAGGAGGTAACTGTGGGGATGAATTGTTTGAGAATGGGATGGTTGAGGGGTTTAGTTGAGGTGCGATAGGCTTCCCTGAAGAGATGAGTCTTTAGGGAACGCCTAAAGACAGCCAAGGTGGGAGATAGACGGACAGGTTCGGGGTTAAGAGTTCCAGAGGATGGGAGAGACTCTAGAGAAGTCCTGGAGGCGAGTATGGGAGGAGTTGACTAGGGAGCTGGAAAGCAGAGGTCTAAGGAAGAGCGGAGGGGACGGTTAGGGTGATATTTTGAGACAAGGTCT